CTTATTCTCTATGAAACTATGATTAATTCTCTCAACCTTGATTCCACCCAAAAAGATATTTATCTTTTTTAAGCAACACAATAAAGAATTAAGCAAAAGTCTGACCCAAAGAGTGCCCCCACACCCAGAAAAAGAAGGAAAGGAGGAAAGAATTCATTCAGGAGAGATAACATATATAACAATCAAATCCACATACTATAATGCCCAATATTAGAGTTCCTTGAAGAAATAATAAACATGTTTGTTCAGGCATTTAACATTAAAGGAAGCATCAGAAAGAAGAATGAACACAGGTGACCCCAAAAGGGTCATGTCTTGTTAGGATCCGTAAACAATGATTATTTGAATAGTTCCAAACGCAATCCCTTCCAGTTGGAAAAGCACATCTTAAAATTAGGCTTCTGAGTCTTTACTAATCACAAAAACTGTATAATTAAACCAGTACTGTTGTATAAAAGCAAATTATTGGCAATCACAACAGTATTTTTAAAAGAAAAGTAATTTTCATAGTGTTTGAAAGATGATTAATATGTAAACATGACAGTCGTGAGTTTTCAACATTAAAAACACAAAAGTAACTAAGAATAAGACAATCACCACTACATAACATTATACACACACACACACACACACACACATATAGTCTTCTTAATACAAAGGAAACAGATATTCATTAAAGTGAGTGATTAATTTTAAAGCCATCACTTAAGCACGCATACACATACAACTAAACTGAAGCTCAAACAATACAGATCCAAGAAACTTCAAATTGTCATGTTTAATAGAAAGACACTAATAAAAATGACATTCAAATTTCCAGTTATCATTTAGAACCAACTGCCTAAGATATTCTAGGCTCTTTTAAGCATCTTTGGTGACTTGATAAAAACAATGTGAAATTCTGAGTCCAAAACTTATTCTGAAACCCACTGGTCAGATGAATAACAGATTAACAATCACTTCAACATAGGCAGCAATTTTATTTCTTCTGCTTTATACCACTTATCTGTGAGTAGCAAATTAAACATAAAAGATAATACTACACCATTTAAACATGAATAATAGTGTTCTTTTTTTTGGCTACTGGGATTTCTGACAATGCCAAAATGAAAGGCATTAGAAGACTGGAGAAGAGGTCAGTAATTTGTACAGTGATGGCTTGGAAGCAGAACAGTTCTTTAGAAATTAAAAACATTTGGTCAGCTGTCACATGAATTTTTAAGCCATAAAATCTAAAGTACCATTGTAATTAATAAATGGAACAAGAAGGGAAATGACAAGGGGTTTCTGAAAACCTGTGGGAAGCAACCTGTCATATGCAAAAAGAAGGGCAGGTTATAAAGTTATGAAGACTCAAAAGTAGCCTAAAATACTCTATCAAGCTTGGCTGATAAAACAGCAAATTTTACTGCATTCTAATCATCACTTACAGATAAACTAGCTAAAATACAATGAAAAATGTCTAACAGGAAAGTCAAAACTTTTCGTGGACTCACCACCTCACAATGGCACAAGTTTAAAAATCAAATACATAAATTTGTCCCAATTAAAGATAATCCAAAAAGAATTCCAAATTATTTTTTTAAAAACTGTTTGCAAAGCAATGCTTTCTTGTATTTTAAACACTGTAATTTCAACCTTAAAGAATTTATAGCCCTTTCTCTTCAGCTTCCCTTTATTCATTTAAATAGATTCTAAGGCAAATAATTTCATGTCTTTAGCCTGAACTGTTCTCTAAGCCAAGAAGTGATGCCTTATTGTCAATCAGTTTGGGATCACAAAGAATATTGGAATATTGGATCACAAAGAATCCATCTGAAATAAGCCCACATGCATCATTTTTATGATTATACTTGTTTAAAACTCAGTCTCTATCTGAAAATTTGAGGAAATAAATTTTCACAATAGCACCAATAGCACAGAAAGCAAAGCAAAATATAACATCAGTTAACAATGCTCATCCTTTTCCATATTACAAAAATTTTAACAGTGAAATTTTGTTTGTAAAATGCAATGTACATTTTATCATCTTGGATAAAATACCTATACCCTCAGTAGTGGCTAAATGCAGCTATCAAGGAAATTGTACCACGATAAATGGTTTCCCTATGAGAAGGTTTCACTGCTACACTTCACCTCAGGACAATAAATCAAATTAACTGCACCTTGTCCTCTGTCCAGTGACATCATCAGTTTGACCACATCTTGGGAATCGGGTGCAAAAACATATGCTATTTAAGGCATGAAATCATATCACTGCTTTTTGTCCACCCAACCTCATGCTCCAGGTCTCTGAAGCAGTCATTCACCTGAACCTTCTTGTGAACGCTAAATTTTTTTTTTTTCCTGCTGCTTTCAGGGTCTACCTGCTGAAGGTGAAAGAGGAAAAATAGTGAGAACTGGTTATTAGAAACTGGCTTCCTATTAGTCCATCAAATCTAGAGTTTTACAAAAATTGAGCTGAAAGCTAGCTCAAAAAATATGTAGCTAACAAATGGACAAAAAATGTCTTAATATAATCTCAAAGATTTAGCACATTAGTGTTAAGCACATTTCTCTAAAATGGTACTAGAGCTGGGGTTTTTAAAAAAACGACCAAACAGCACAACATTTAAAAAAAAAAAAAAAAACTACAAACATACAAAATAAAAAGGAAAGAAAACTTCACCAAGGAAAAGGTCAAAATCAAAATTACTGTTTTTTAGAAGTAGCAAAAGTTAATCTGCCTTTCACAATTTAACTCTCCTAAATCTACATACAACATGAAATCAATTTGACAACTTAAAGAAGAGGGCGGGTGTGCTGGGAGGGGAATAAGTTCCAAGATCAGGTGGACACAATGCCTGTTTATTCTTCTATTTTCACACATTTAACCATGACACAAGCACTCAAAGGCATCATAACCCCATTTCTGTTTTCAGGAGTGCTACAATTAAAATAAGCAAGTACATGACAGTGAGAACAAAAAATTTTAAATTAGAATGAAGAGACAGATAAGGGAACACAGCACTGAGAAATGTTGAAATTGTTAACTTAAATACTTAGTTAAAGCATTTCTAAAATACTTAGCTATTCCCCAACCCCTAGAAACAAAACTACGGGTTTTACGAATCCTGCAGACCTCTACAAAGTAGTTTAACTTGGGGGGGTTCAATCTAGGGGAGGAGGGAATTACCCCAAAACAAAGTGATTCATTTGTATTAAACCAAAAGTTTCATTCGCCTAAAAATGAGAAGACAGATTTTTTTTTTTCCTTAGGCCCAGTAGTACTGCAAACTATAAGGAAAGTCTTCTTGAGAAAAAAACATAACACGGCAGAGTTGATGCTTAGCTAGGAACTGTTTTAATGCTAGTGAGGCCCAGAGAGGACTTGTTTTGCCCGCGGAGGAGGGGTTCACGTGTGCAAGTTGGGGGTGGGGGGGTCATTTTGGTTATTAGTAAATAAATCAAGTGGCAGAGAATATGAGGCCTAGGCAACTGCTGGAGGAGCCACGGCCTAGCTCTCCCCGTCTCTTCCCAACACAGCCTGGGTTTGATCTCAGAGCCCTGTGGATTGCCAAGGAAAAAAAAAAAAAGAATCATATCGAACCACAAAAGCACATGGGGCGAATGTAAAATATAAACACGGCGTTGGGCTGTGAGTGGCTGTTATTAAAGGTCTGAATTACTAAACATGAGAGGCGGGGAAAGCCAGGCGGCCATTTCAATAATATAAACCTCCCCGAATTAGACATTATTCAAATGAGAGAGGTTAGCCCAAGCCGAGGGTGGAGAGGACCCAGAACCTAGCTCCTCAACCCAGCACAGAGCCCAGGAGGGGGATCCCCGCCCCTGCCCAACTCCCACCGGAGAAGGGAAAGCAGAAACATTATCAACTTGTCAGGCAGCCACCTCTGGGGCAGGAGGGCAGGTCTGAACGTCCGAGTTCTGGGGAGGCCTCCGAGCACGAGAGGCCTGAGGGCCAGAGTCAGATGAGTGGCGGGGGGCGCCGGGTGCGCGGCGAGACAAGAAGGGATCACGTCTGGCACCTCCAACCCCGTCCCCCCGGGACACACGGACGCCCGGGAATAGGGGGGCTTTTCCAGGACGCACGGGGATTGAGAAACGACGGCCCCAAACACATGGGGCGGCCCCCGAGGGCACCCCCGCTACGGCGGGGAACTTTCCCCGAGGGCCGCCCGGCCCCCCAGTCCGTCCCCGAGGGGGCGTCCCCGCCCCCGACGCCCCGAGAGGCCACCGCGTCGCGCCCGCGCCCGCTCGCCCCTACCCACCTCGAGCGCAGGCCCGGCTCGGGTCAGGCCGCCACACGGGGGACCGGCGGGGCGCGGCCGCGGGGCCCGGAGCCGTGACCCCGGGCTCGGCCCCGCTCGGCCCCCGCGCGGCGGCGGCGGCGGCGGGACGCGGGCTGGGCGCTCTCCCCGGGCGCGCCCCCCAACCCGGCCCGCTCCCGGGGGCACGCGGGCCGCTGTCCGGCCGCCGGGGTCCGCTCCGGCCCCGCCGCCTCCCGGGCATTGTGCTCGCCGCCACCTCCACGCCCCCCCACCCGCGCCGCCCGGCCCGGGGCGCCCGCCCGCGCCCGCCGCGCCCCGCCGCGCCCCGCCGGCCCGGTAGCTATGAATATGTAAAACGTCTTTATTGTCCTCTCCCTCCGCTCCGGCCCGCCGCCCCGCCGCGGACCCGCTCGGTTCGGGCTCCGGGCGCGGAGGCGCGGCGGCGGCGGCCGGCGGGGGAGGAGGGCCGGGCGGCGGGCGAGCGGGGCAGGGGGAGGGCGCGGGCTCGCGGCCCCCGTGGCCCCTCGGCGTCCCCCTCCGCCAGACCACTCCGAGCCTCTTTCCCCTCCGCTCGGCGCCCGGCGGGGGCTCCGTGCTCCCCGGCCCCCCATCTCCCCGCCGTTAATTATAATAATCCTGAGTACTAATAAATTATGCTAAGTCGCGGGGGGGGCAGCGGGAGCCGGGGTTGAGTATGAATATGAATATGTAAAATGCTGTAATGATTACCTGCTGCTGCTGCCGCCGCGGCTGAACTCTCATCTTGACTCGCTGCTCCTCCGTCCGCCATTTTGAATATTTTAACCAAAATCGCCCGGTCGATAAACCCTCCCTCGCTCCCGCTCCCCTCCCCCTCCCGCCCTCCAGGCCTCCTCCCTCCTCTCCGCCCCCCTCCCGTTCCTTCCTCTCCCCGGGCGCGCGCCAGGGGGCGCGCGAGGCCGCCCCCTCGGAGGAGCCCCACCCACTCGCGCGCTCTGCGCACGCGCCTCTTGGCCGCGGTGGCGCTTCAGGAGCTAAAGCGCCCTCCGCCTGCCAGTCACGCCTTGTCTTTATTTTTAGCTCTCAGTTTCACGCCTGCGCAAAGCCCTGCGAGCGCGTGAAAGGCGATCGGCGCATGCGCCGCCTCCTGTGGGCGCCCTCAGAAGTGTAGCCGCGCTAAGTGTGGTGTGTCTGGGCGCTCGGTGGAGTTTACTACTGTCCCTTCCCCTCCCGCCTCACTCTCCCCCACGGCTTTGGCCCACGGCTTTCTGAGGGAGCCAGCGGCCTTCTAGGGCTAGGGCAGGGGGCGCCGCAGACGGACGCGTGGCGAGGCTGGGGGGGCCCCCGGGCCAACCAGCAGCCGGGTCCCCTCACCCCCACACGTTTTAAGGCCCTCGGCGCTGTTGAAACGCCGACAACAAAGCAGGGGCCTCTCCCCAGCTAGGTAACTTCCGGCCCTCCGGACAGGTAGGGGCGGAAACGAGGGCCCCGGGAGCGGGGCGCCAGGCACCTGCCGAGCCCCGCGCGGCCTCCCGCTTTAAATTTGAATCCGAACGAATCCCCGCCCCCAAGTCTGAGAGCGCCGGAGCCCCGGCCGCGGCAGGGGGAGTGTCCTGGCGGAGTTAATTAGCCCCGAAACGCTTCTGCTCTGCTGGATCCTGACACCCTGCCTGGCCTCCGCGCGAGCGGGGCGTCTCATTAAGCCCCTGATTTCCGCCCCGACCCTTCCTTCGGCTCCACGCGCCCCGAGCGCGGCTCTGCGGGTCAAGACAAATAGCCCCCCCCTAGGCTGTGGCCCTGCAGCCCCCTTTCTGCGTCTTCGGAACAGCTAAACCTAGAAATGAGTTGGGAGCCGATGACCTAATAAAAATGTCGACATCAGCTGCGGTTTCATCATGCATTTTACTTTGCCCTGCTTCGTAAATATGACAAGAGAATTTCCGTTCTAAATAGTTAACGTTTGCAACTAGTCGTGATGTTCCAAAGTGGCCCAGGACAAACCCGTAGCTAATTATTTCGTGAATTCTTAATAAAGCCCTAAAATTTTTCTAGGTTTGGGTTTGTTTTTTTTTTTGTTTTTTTTTTTTTTGTAAAAAAAAAAAAGGTTTATGGTAACCAAAGAAAAGTGTTGTTTTTTCTTGGTTGCTTTTCTTTTTAAGATGAGCCGTAGGTAATCCTGTTTGAAGAGAGACATGACTGAAGTTTAATTTGGGTAGAATTGCAGGTTTTACGTTGAAGAAAATCTGATATCTAAGAGATAGTCAGCAGATTTTTTAATGGCTTAGGTTTTCATGGGTCTTAGCCTACTCAATGAATTCCTTACACTGTGTGAGGACAGTTGAAACTATTGTCAGTGACAGCCAGTGAATTTTGGGTGGAATTGATTTATTCATGGTAATTAAGCCGTAGGGTGTGTGCGTGGCTGTTTAAACCAAATAATTGGGCCACCCTATAATCTCATTATTTCAAGCCATACCAACAAGCACGAGAAAAATGCAGATTTTAATCATATTACAATTAATTTGGGAAGAGGGTCTAAGTTATATTCATCAGCTTTACTAGAGGGGAAGTGTCAGACTCATCAGTCTTTCTGAAAAAAGTTAAATATATGTCCCTGCTCTGAAGAACATGAATTTGAAATCATCTCCATTAAGAAAAAGAACTCAAATGCCCTTAATTAAATTCCGATCTTCTATTTAATCTTTGTTTTACTCTGTTTCAAAAAGTAAATTAATGGGACTTTCAGAAAGTAATCGAAGTCAGTGTATGTGCTATTCATTCTTTATATTTCTCTGTGAGAAAAAAAAAATAGAGTTTAAAATATCCTGTATCGATGATTCATTTTCCTCTTAATGAAAGTATTTGTTTCAAACTGTTTGCCCATGGCCGAACACAGTGATTCGATATAGTAGGTACCCTAAATACTTGTTGAATAAAAAAATGATGTACAGTTATACTTGTTAGGGTATTTATGTGTGTGTGTGATAAGTTATTTATTCAACAAATATATGAGAGAGTTCATCATATTTGAGAAAGAAGTTTGCTATAAAAAACTGGCTCACGCAATTATGGAGGCTGAGAAATTTCTGAATTTTTAGTCTGAAAATCCAAGAACCAGCGAAGCCAGAGGTGTAAATCCCAGTCTGAGTTATATTCCTACTACCAGTATCTCCGTAGGGTAGGTAAAAGGTATCAGGTTTTTCTGCCCTCCCGCCATTAGGATAGATCCTCAATGCATGACTGATGGCACCTGACACCTGGGCTGAGAAAGTGGACTTTTAAGGGCAGCGTCCCAGGGATGCCAGCGGCACCAGGAGGGAGGGAGGGAGGGAGGGAGGGAAGGAGGGGGGGGGGGTGAAGAGAGAGAGAGAGAGGGAGAAAGAGAGAGAGAGAAGACTTGCTGGGGGCTGGGAGGCCTGCCAGTCTCCCAGCCCCCCAGTACCCCTGCCTGCTGTGTACCTGGTAAGCCCCAATAAAAGCCTGCAAAACAGCCGTGTCATTCCTGACTCTATAATCCCACAGTCTTTTTTTTTTTAAGATTTTATTTATGCCACAAGAGCTGGGGTGCAGGCCAGAGGTGTGGTGGGGTGAGAGGATTCACCAGAGACAGAATGGGGCACAAAACAGGGGCTCTACTGAAATACACTGGTGAGGGGAGCAGCAGGCTAGGACAGGAGAGGTCTGCCACGCCATGTGGGTTAGCTCCCTGGCAGGGGATCGAATTCCTGCTGCAGTGGCTGCAGCTAGCTTCATAATGCTGCAACTTAAGGCCTTGTGCCAACCAAGGAGGCCCCATTATTTCATTCTCTTAATGTCGATTCTCACACATTTCCTGGATTTCTGTCTGTATAAATTAGAAAACTCAAATAGTTCTTTTGGAGGGTCATGTACCTCTCATCAGTACGATAGTAATACCCAGTTCATGATGGACAGCCTAGGTCACATGGCAGTTTAATGTTCACACTTAAGCATTCAATCTGTACTAAAGTCTAGAAACAAGTCAAGAGCTGTTTCTCAAAAGGAGAGTAGTCATCCATAAAGGATGCCAGGGCTTTGCCCCCAAATCCTTAGAGTGTGCTCTCAAATACACCTATTATGACTTGTCAGAAGCTCCCAATTAGCATCCCTATCTACAACTGAGGCTTCAAATACCCTTACATTTGCTGGCTCATGTGGCCCAAGTGGCAGAGCAGCTTGGACAGCAATCCAGATCTGTTGCACAACCTTCTCTTGTTCTGGGCTCCATTCAAAATCATCAGCTTTTCAGGTCACTTTGTGAAAGGACTGAAATAATACATTCAAATGAATATGTTGCCTCCAAAATCCAAGAGATCCAGTAGGTATTGTGAGTCTTTTTTGGTTGTAGTAGTGACCAGATGCAACAATTTATCCTTTATCTTAGAAGTTATATCTTGGTTTGTCCCACACCACAGGAAGCCTAGAAATTTCACTGAGGTAGAAGGTCCCTGAATTTTTGTCAGATTTCCCAGCCTCTACACAATGTGTTAGCAGTAAGCCTAGAGAAGTTGCTACTTTTTGCTTGCTAGATCCAGTCAGCATGGTGTCACCAATGTATGATAGCTTGAAAAAAAAGAAAGATGGTCAAGATTTCTGCAAACTAAATTATGACAAGGCCAGAGAGTTAACATCCTCTGAAGTAGGACAGTGAAGGTGTATTGCTAGCCTTGCTAGTTGAAAGCAAAGTAATTCTGATGGGTCTTATTGACAGGGTTGGAGAAGAGTCATTAACTAGCTACCACATTCCAGATAGATACCAGGGGGAGTGTTAATTTGCTCAAGTAATGAAACCACATGTGGCATAGCAACTGCAAGTGGAGTCACCCCCAGTTAAGTTGACAATAATCTACCGTCATTCTCCAAAATCCATCTGTCTTCTGCAAAGGGCAAATAGAAGAGTAAAATGGGAATGTGGTAGCAATGACCATTCCTGCTTCTTTCATGTCCTTTAATGGTGACACTAACCTCCGCAATTCCTCTAGGAATTCAGTGTTGCTTTAGGTTTACTATCTTCCTAACTAAAGAAAGGTCTTGTGGCTTCTACTTGGCCTTTTCTACATTATTCCACAGGTCAAGGTGTAATGTGGGTTCTGCCTACTACTTCAGTATTCCAGGACCAGAGAAAGTGAAGTATAGAGGTCTTAAGTAATTTACCCAAGGTCACACCACTATTAAACATTACAGTTGAGGGTGGCGCAGCAGGTTGAGCTCCACGCTGTGAAGCTATCCACAGCCTCTGCAGCGCAGGTTCGATCCCGGCCAGCTGGCGAGAATCCCACATGGCTCAGCAGACCTCTCCTGTCTCACCCACTGCTCCCCCAGCAGTGTATTTTGTCAGCCTGCCTGTTCTGTTTCCTGCTCTGTCTCTGGTGTGTCCTTTCACCCTCCCGCACATCTGGCCTGTACCCTGGTTCTTACATTAATAAATAAATAAACATTTGACCTGCAAGCACAGGTCAAGAGCTATACTTTAACTATTACACTGTACTGCTTCTTTGGATTGAAGGAATCCTATAGATGTGAATATAATTCAGTACGGGAAGGAATCAAATTAACAAATTTATTTTAATTCCAATTTTCTATTTAATCTTTGTAAATCTTGCCTGAGTTCAATCCCCAAGCAGGAAGCTGACCTACATGGCACAGCAGACCTCTCCTGTTTTACCTGCTGCTCCCCTCAGCAGTGCATTTCAGTAGCTGTGCCTGTTCTGCACCCCACTCTGTTGATGGTGAATCCTCTCGCCCCCAGCATCTCTGGTCTATACCCCAGTTCTTGTATGCATATATACATCTTTAAAAAAATAAGAGTGGT